ATATATATATATATATGTGTGTGTGTTCTGGTGAAGTAAATGTGTTAAATTTAATTACATTTTTTACTAGAACTGATTTTTGCTTTATTTAATTTGGGTCATGGGCAAGCTGGCACATGAAAAATAATTACAGCTTAATGAATGAAAACAAAACATACAGCAGTAAGGTAAGAACTACTTGAATTAGCAAGAGGCATTGCCTGGAAAAATAGTCTGGGTTGTATTTTTAATTTTATTAATGCAATGTTCTAATTGTTTGGTGGACCTATAACTTGCTGTAAGTGCAGGGAAGGTTCATGTATTTTCTCATGTTTTATGGAAGATTTTGAATATTTAATGTTAAAAATCTTTTTTCTAAAATGAAAAAGTGAGCATTTCAGTTAAACATTATGCATATTTTATCACATAGTAGTTAAATAAATCCAATTTAGGCAAAACTGACAATTTTATTCTGGATGCAAAGCATCTCTTACCTCTCCCTTAGGATAACGATAACGATACTTGTCCTGGTCTCTCATTGCAAACTCTTCTGGAAAATTCTCCTGAATTTCTTCATAGGTTAGTTCTTCACACACACCCTTACAGAGAAGAAACAGGATTAACATCATCTTAAAACCATTGAGTCAGACCAGAAAATATATATAAAAAACTGAGAGCAACACAAAGCAAAGAGCACAAACTTTCTACAGAAAACAGAATGACATTAAAACTAAGACCTTACAGTGCTGCAATTTAATAATAATAATAAAAAAAAACAACAACTAAACAAATTCTTGAGGTCACATAAGTTGTTGTAAGAAAGCTGATTTTCCTTCAAATGCTCATAAGAATATTTTACAAAGTACTGTTTTATCACAATCTTTTGTTATCATAGAAATATTATTTATTAACCTAACAAGGTGGAGTCAGGTCATCTGGATGGACCACAGGACTCAATCTTGTTACATCCATCTACCTGGATTATTGTGCATGCACCAGGACATTACTTTGTAACATTCATTTAAGCAGTTAATCCCACTGAGTTCACAGATCTTTTTTTCAGGGAAGGCATGGACCTGAAGGCAGCTTGAACATTTTGCATATTTTGGACCATGGTAAAATATTCAAACATGAGGAGAACATGCAAACTCCACAAACAAAGAGCCCAGGACTAAACTGGGATTAAACCCAGAGCCTTGCCTGTGAGGCAACAGTGCTAACCACTAATCCACTGTACTACCCAAAGATATTTGGATCATTCATTTAGAAACTAAAGATCTTTGTTGAACCCCCAATTTAATATTTTATGTATATACAATAAACCAGTGATGGAGTAAAAAACTGAACAGCACTACTATCATTTTCACAACACCATTGAGCAAGTGCCAGTGAGACTTGTCATATGTAGTCCTGAAAAGATGATCAGACATGTTCACGTTATAAACTTACAGCATCTATCTCATTGAGAGCTTTCCACTGTTCATACTGGACTCCCAGAGTCTCTGCAGTCTGAATAGTTCTCTTCATGTGACTCGTCCACACCTTCAGATCCTTGATGTTCTGACCCCTGATGAAGGATGCCAAAGCACCAGCATACTGTGGAGAAAGAGGCCTATGAAAGAACTTTTTAATATACTTCAAATGAATCAGCTAAATGTAGAACTCGCCTGATGTCCTCTCGGGGTTAAGCCTGAATCCCCACCAATGCGACCTAACAGGTTGAGTTCACTTTCTCCATGGCGACTCAGGTAGATGGATCTCGGTGTGACATGAATGTTCATTAGGTAGTAGACAATCCTGCTTTGAATGTGATCCTGGACCCGGTTCACCAGGTATCTACTGCCCACGTCAAAGATCTTTATGTAGGAGAGGTTCCTGATCAAAGTGATGGTATACAGCAAAAAGAATATAAAATAAAATAATGAGACATGGTAATAAAATGTCTTGCCTTCCCATGATTACAAGTGAGTCATCGTACCTGTCTATTTCATCATCGATAGACATGTAGGATGCCTTGTAGCATTCAATTCGCTGGATGAAGTCCTGCATAGCCTCCTCTATATCACGATCAATGTAATCTGGACTCCCAAACTTTACTTGCTAAAAAAAAAATTATTTGCTTTTTAATTTATTATAAAATATTACCCTCTGTCATTTAAAATAACTTTCTTTAAGCGTAACAGATGTGTTTCTCACCATGATATTTTCTGTAATGATTTCTGGGTCTTCACAGATGGATTCCACAAAGAACACCTGCTAACAGAATAACATTCAGAATTCAAGTAAACAGCTTCAATTTCCTTGTTTTTAAACGAACACACATTTTGACTGGCGCCTGCTAAACATCTGATAGGAACAGAATAGAATAGATATTTGTTTTGACTTCAAAAAGCTTTAAGAACAAACTATAAAGAGTGAAACGCAGTTTGGCATCCTGACATGACATGAAAAATACGAGTAAAGGCTGTTTTTCTTTTTGTTGACCAGATCAGCCTGTTAGCTTAACTTAGCATAAAACCAGCAGGCTAACTGGGACTGCTGGTCTGAAGACAGGATAAATAGACTTAGGGCAAACATTTATTTATTTTCTTTGCTTTGTGAGAAGATCAATTTCATTCCCAACTATCTCTGGTGGGTTTACTGTGAATCTAAAACCAGGAATAAATTTACGTAGCTTAGTTAGACCATCTGTTTTATTTATGGAAATACAATAATATTCTTTGATTTGAATGACAGTCATAAAATATACCAGACTTTGAAACTACAACCGTCCATTCTCTTGTTTCTTGTGTAATTTAAATATAAAATCTTGACCTGTGAGCTTTAGAACTTTAGCTGGTTTTGTTTCAGCTGGACTGAAGCAAACACTGTTTTCAAATTCTACTTGTGCTAAACTTGTTTCTAGTAGTAGCATTAGGCTACTACTATCATTACTGTTACTGCTTAAGTGAATAAGATATCATTGCTCTAATATTTAGCATAAAACTATGCAAAGTGTTATTTTCCCATCTGACTCCAAACAACACACTGAGGTGAAATTCCAAAAATAACTTGCTTTATAGCCTCTCTCTTTAGCAAAAGTGTTGATGATGGCTCTTCTCTCTCTTGTGGTGTTGGTTGCATCAAACACCTGAGTGGCACAAGATACGTCTGTTACCAAAGCATTCATCTCACGTCTGAAAGAAAGTACATGCGCCGTCACACCTGCTGATGCCCCATTTCATTGGTTTTAGCAGATGATTTTATTAAAAATAATTTACACCTGAGGAGCAACATTCTAGCTACAGTTAGAAACCTTTGTAACATTAATTGTTAGAACTGACAGTTTCAGTAAAACAGGTTAAAAAAAAGTGGAAAGTAGTGCTAGTTAGTCGTGTTAAACATGAACTTAGTGAGGCTCATAAGACAAATGTCTGTGATCCAGTAACACGTGATAACTGTAGCCCATTGTGAAATCAAAAATGAAAACAAGCCTTAATTAAAACCATCTTGTGAGTGTTGTTGGCAGTACCAGAAGGAGTTCCTGAAACCAGTAGAGCAGTCAAAAAGGAGTAAGACATATTTTCTTACCCAAATTACCACCATTCAGTGTTAGTTAACAAAAACATCTAGTGTTTTACAAAACATGCAAGATGTTTTATAAAGTAAATGGTAAATGGACTGTACTTATATAGCGCCTTTCTATCTTATCAAGATACTCAAAGCTCTTTACAACAATCTGTGTCCTCATTTACCCATTCATACAGCTCTATACTAGATCTCTACAAAGATGAACAAATCATTCTAAAGAGACTAATCAGTACCACATTCATACACTGATGGGACACACATGAGAGGCAATGAGGGGTTCAGTGTCTTGCCCAGGGACATATCGGCATGTGACTGCTGGTGGATTCAAACCCCCAACTCTTGCATTGGAGGACGACTGCTCTAACCACTCAGCCACTTGAGGAAGGCGCTGCGGGAGGAGTGTCAAAATGTCGGCTCCGAAAGTACAAGATATGTTTTATATATTATGTTTAAAAGCTACAAAGATACAGAACTGAGTAATATCTGAAACCCTAGATCAGAACCTTTGGGCTTATATATTACAAATAGGTTTACAAATACTTTCAATGGCCTCTTACTCACGGCTACTTGTCCATGTTCTTTTGTGAAGTACACAGCAACATCTTTGAGTGCAGCTGAAGCGCAGGCCCTGAGAGACAAGTTACACTGGTCTAAACAATGGGACAAATGCTGCAAAATAGGAGTCAGTGAATGAGGAGTCACATGTGAAACTGAGAGTTCAATGACAAATATCTGTCATGACAATCCTCATCTTTCTTTTACTCACTTGCGGATCCTCATGGCCTCCTCATTGTCAGGTTTAAAGAACTCAAAGTTCTTGTAGGTCTTCACTGCCTCCCTGCGATACTGGCCCACGTTAAACACTTGTAAAAATGGGAAAACCTTATTTAAAAAAAAATAAAACTATTTAAAGAGATGTTCATTAAAACAAACACTAAAACTGACCTTTTGTAGGAACTCCAATCCAGTTCAGGTAGCGAGTGAGCTTCTTGGAGATGTATGTCTTCCCTCTGGCAGGCAATCCCACCATCACAATCACAGTCGGGGAGTTACAGAACTGAGGCACAGAGGCTGAGGAGAAAACAGACACATTATTTTATAGGTAACAATAAGCCCCACTGATGTAGGAATTCTGGATTTCAGTGCTTTTGTTAGGATTTATTCAGCTGTACATGTGTCTCATATATAGATGGTCAAATGCTAATCAGTTGGTGAGGCTCATGTCACAGGATTTTTTTTGCGTGTTACCGCCAATGTACTCTTCATTAACAGAGGGAAAAATCACAACTGAACTCAAACTTCTGCAAAACCTGTTCATCTCATAGACTTCACATGTGAAAACATATTAACCGAGAAGTGCACAGAAGTCCCCCTTCAATGAGGGATTTGAATAGTGAATGCATGTCGTTTTGGAGATGAGTGACTGGAATTGAACAGGAAATGCAAGTACTTGTAAACCCTAATGCTTGTGGTGCAAGATATTCAAATGTGGACATGGGCACCAGTGACCTCCGCAGCCCATAAAGGAAGAACCAGGTAAAGATAATAGACAGATCAATGGATATTCAAATGTGTAGGAATTACGCTGTGTATAAAAAGAGAGGTAGGTTTTATTTGTTTATTTGTCCAAAGCAGTACTGAGTGACGGATGACGGAAAGTGGAGGGAGCAATTTAGGTGCAATGGGGGAGCCAGGGACTGGCCAATGGTGGCCAAGGTCACCATTATTTTATTTTATTATCGCATTTATTATTTTATATATATA